TAATGGTTAATACCAATGTGAAACGGTCTTAGATGAGTATTCATGCATAGGTTGGTGGATGTAATTTAGTTGACATAAATCTTTTTCCTTAAATCATTTTGAGAGTGACCTCCAATTGTAATGTGCACAAGACTCCGTCTTCGGTTGATTATTGCTGATATATCCTAGTTGAGCTCTCAACGACGCTTATTTTTCAGTTTTTCTGAGTACATGACTTGATCAACTATCGGATCTTAGTAAGAAAATAGTACAATTAACATGCTTCAATTTTTACCATCACTTTCGGCATTTAGATTAACTTGGTCAGTTGATTATCCATGTCCAATTTTTTAGACACTGCAGTAGTTAGCACATCATTTGATTGCATCATATTTTTCTTTGATTCTTTGATCAACTATTAGAAAATTGAAACATATTGAATTAATTAATGTAAGTTTTGATGAAACTACACTGCAAGAGAAGGGTATGTTTATCTTTTTTATTTTTGTATTATTATATATAAGAAGTTGTGTTGAACATTAGAATGAATATGAATTCATGTTTGTCTTCATATGTTAGTGGCAGACACTAGATATTTTTAAAAATAAAGTAATAATCATTTTTCTTTTGTCTTTTTTGTTGTTAATTAATCAAATCGTTATTGGCGATCGAGAAAACGTGTGAATGTAATTTCTAAGAAAATATGCCATTTACTTGTGTGCAATAATTATGTCCTTCTTCCACCTATGGTGAATTAGGTGAAAACATGTTTTGTTCCTAATAAATTTAGCCTATGTTTGTGTTTCCTTGTTAAAATTCTACTTTTGAAAAATGAATTGTAGGTGAGTAATACTTATGGATATCCTACAAAATGTGTAGTTAAAAATAATGTTTGACTTAAAAAGTAGTTTTTAAAGAGATAAAAATGTATCCCAACAAATTATTATAATGGTTTAGGTTTTGTTCGCCATTGTGTATAAAAAGATATTTATAGGTAGGGAAGATTTCGAGATGGCGAAAGCTAAGGGGGTGTTCTCTTTGTGTTTCAGTTTTGTGTTTTAAGTTTTGAATTCATTTTGAGTTTTGTATTTTGAGTTTTTGTTTTGAAATTCTTGAAAATGCGTTCTTTTTGTTAGTTTCTCAAAACAAAAAAAAAAATAATTTTTTTTTTTAGAATTTTGAGAATCACCACAACACCACCTCAAAACACCAAAAAAAAAAAAATTAATTTTTATTTATTTTTTTTTTAATTTTGAGAATCACCATACTATCTCCTCAAAAAAAAAAAATTTTAATTTTTAATTTTTTTTT